TCAACAGTAATTGTAATAATATTCTTAATTTACAAAAAAAAAAAAAAGAACTCTTACAGTAAAAACTTTACAGCATGAAATAATAAAAATAAATAGTTGATCAGACAGTAATTTACTGTTACTCGATTTGATGTATCGGATGAAGAAAAGTATGCGCCAAATAAGTGTTGACGTCGTTTTGACGGAGATTTTAAATATGAATCTGAACTGTAACAGCTTTTTTCGTTACACTGATCGCTAGCACAAAAACACCAATGCTCCACTATATCAAACTAGAATTTTGATCGTTGTTAATTATTTGAAATTATCCTTCTGAATATTCTTTAATACTAAATATTTTTAATTACACTTTTCAAAGTTTGATATTTTGTGTGAATAAAAAACTAAATTAAATTAATTACAAGTTTCCGATCAAGAAATTTGACTGAGTTGTTTGTTCAAATTTGATCTATCTTAGAACAACGCAAATTTATTCTGAATGTTATGAATTAGTATAATATCTGTCATCACAGAAAGCATTCTTCTATATTTATCCTAAAGAAATTGAAAAAAGAAACTGTTTTTTATGGCTTTTGAAATGGTAAGAAGTTTCTGAAGTAAAAATTAAAAATATAGCTTATTGCTTTGCATATTAATATTCATAGAGGTTAATTAAGCCAAATCAGTTCAAAGGTCAGGTAACAATCATTAACAAAGTTAAACTATAATTAATAGTATTCAGGTCTCTAATAATTCTGAAAATAACTTTTCATGTTAAATAATTCAAACTATTCGCATTATTGAAATATATTGAAGTGAATACTTGCCATATCGAATTCAGATGATAAATGATGGCCAATTTGGGAAACTCGAGAATGCGGGCCAAGACCAAGTTGTGCATGCTGGTCATTAGTTAAAAATTGTGAGGAACAGCCTCGTACTAGTCCTAAATTTTTTACTTATAGAAATGAACAAATAAAAAGTCAGCTTTACATCAAAAATTATATATAATTGAATGCTTTTAGCATTTTACTGATCTTAATCTCTTCAGGATGATTTTCATATGTTTTTTACTGTAAATTTGCGTCATAATTTACAGCAAATTATAGTTTTCACACAAAAATATAATCAATTAAAAATGTTTTTGAAAATAAATACATTAGAAAGGCCTAGCAATTAAGACTTTTTGCCTTAACTTATTCAAATTAGATTAATAATTTTTAAATTAATCATATGCAAATTATTATCATTGATAAATGTAAATATTCATACCAAGCACACTAATCACTCCATTTTGTCGATTGGTACCGTTTAAATACATAATAAAACAAGTTGACGGACAAAACTGTGCAGTTTCAGGTAAGTAATCGACTTTTGCGCAGTTCTGATCACTGGTTGTGATTGCATAATTACGCTTCAAGAAAAAATGTCTCCAATGCCAAACAATAAAATCATTTGCGCAGGAATAACATCTAATTGCTTCTACAACACTAAGTGAAGAAGAAGATGAATAGCAGTGCAGAATTAAAATAATCACTGGTAGATTGTTTGGTAGAAAGATAAAAGCCAAAGAAGCAAGCATTGACCCAAATAAAAAACGCATTAGTCTCGTGACCTTTGCTTCTCGATCATCTTCTTCTACTTGCTTCTTACTATCTTCAGTTTAGTTAGCTCTTACTTCAGATTACTGTATTTTTTTTTCACTTTACTTTATCTTATCCCACAAATTAAGCATTACTTACTTTTTGCGCAACAAAAATCTACTAATTATAAGAAATATTTGCTCAAGCAAAAGCTGTCACTAGCTGAAAATAATTAGTCTTGGATTGTCTAAATAATTTTGAGTAGTGAAATTTATCAGCGTTTTTATTAATTTTTTTTGTTATACTTTTCAAATTTTGACTTAAAGATTTTTTTTTTTGATTATTAAATAAAATAGTGAGTGACACGCAAAGTATACCTAAAGAATGCTTCTTGTAAAAGTTTGAAATAAAGAAGAAAAATAAAAAAATTATAGCAACAAAAGGTGTAAAATATAAACTTTGCAGATTGAATTTGCGCACTTAAGTATTTTTGAATAAATTGAGAGCAAAATTTTTGAAATTGTATGCAAATTTTTTTTTGTACAGAAATTTGCTGCTGAAAATGAATAGCTGTTCAAAACAAAGTGAAAAAGCTAAGCAAACACATAAGTTGCTTACGTCAAATTCCACGTATTTCATTCATATCCGTTTAAATAGATTATTTACCAAAGTAAGATATAAATATATTAATCGACAACTACAAAGTAATGCGTGTAAAGTTGCCAATAATTTTTACGCCTCATTAGCGCTTATTTTATTCGGACAACTTAAGTGCTCTACAAACTGCTTAATCATTTAAGCAACCCATATTGAGGTATAATAATAAAAAACACCTTAGTTTGAAAAATTTGCAAAAAATATCAGTTTATGCTCAAATATCTACATACGTGTTTTTTTTTTTTGACTGCGCGTGTTCGACCTGAAATTAATTATGAAAATGATTTGGACTTGAAAGGAAAGGAAAAAGTCAAATTAAGAAGTGATTGTAAAAAAATTTTTAGAAATACTCTGAATTTCCGTGAAAGTTATAGTGAAAATAGTTTTAATAAGTACTGCTTATCACGTTAAAAAAGATTGCACACGTGCTTATGATAAATTAAAAAAATTTTTTTTTTGAAATAATTTTTGTTTAAAACTAAAGAAAGGTCAAAAGTGGCAAATTCAAATATCGAAGGATGAAATTGTGTGCTCCATCTGAAGAGCTAATAAAATTTATGCAGAAGCAGCTTTACGTGAAACATTTTACGACTTCTAGTAGCAAATGCATTCATTTTCTAATTTTTAAAGTTTTTAGCTCAAGTCTTGACTTAAAATTTTTCTTCAGAAAAACAATCAAAAAATATGCTTATTCTAACTCTCATAGTAAATATTTTGAAAATAAGCTCAGTCTAAGTATAAGCTTTAGTTGAAGCTTAGATTTATCTAATTTCTTTAAGTGAAATTTTTAATAATTTGTAAAGATGCGCTTTTTTTCACGTGCTATTTAGATAAATTTAAGTGCAAAATAACTTTTATACAAAATATTTATTACATTTTGTTACTTTTTTAGTGCAAAAATTAAGACAAAAATTCAATCAACAAAATATTTTATAAATAGTTGCACTCTTACCAAAACATAAATAATAAAGAAATAAGTTATAAGGCAGATTTTTTACTGAAAACATTAGCTAACTTATCAAATTTCTCAATGAAAAGTTCTTAAAGTGCAGTTATAAGGATAAACGTTAGGGTTTAATTTTCAATATCTACTCTAAGTTATACTTTGATGGTTCCTGCATGATGAATTTACAATTATATTTAATATTTTTAAAGTTGTAATATTCAATTATTTATTGATATTTTAATAAATGCAGATTTAAATTCATAATAACCAAATTATAAAATCACTTATCATATTTTCAAAGCATAAAAATAAGAGCTAATTTTTAAATTTGTGAAGTCTCATGCATAAATTTGCATATTATAATTTTAATAATTCATTATTATATATCAAATTAATTGCACTGTTGAATAAAATTTTTGCTTTAATAATGTAATTCTCGACATCTTCTAACTAATTCTTGAAATGAAATTCACATTTGCTCAAGCAAATTCCATTTTTCTACTTTTAATTCAATTTGATATTGCCTTGAGTAAGAAAGAATTAAGTTTCTCGTTTTTCATGGAAATAGAGTAAAATTATATAAATTAATATTCTGTTTTAAAATAAGAATCTTACTTGTTAGCTACTGATAAAAGTTTTATGATTTCATTTGTGATTCTATGCGATCGAAAATTCTGAAAGATTCTACCCTATCCGGCACTTACCCCTTCGAAAACCAAAGAAAAGTCTGATAAGATCATATAAAGATCACATAACTTTTATTTTTCTTTAATAATTTTAAATTTATTATTTATATATTTTACAGAATTAAGTAACAAGAACAAGATCTACAGTTTGATCTCAATAAAAATAAGTCATTCATTTATCGAATATATACTATTATTTGGGATTCTATTGATGAAAAGATGTTATCTGAGCAAATAATTACATTTTTACATCATTGAATCTATTCAGTGCTATTTGTGGAAAGAACAGAAGTTATTTGCATAAATAATGTGCTATGCAAAATGATTTGGTTTGTTTATCAAATTTTTTGCAATTTATGATAATTGTTGCTTAGTACTTAGTTTATATAGCGAAATGAATAAATTAAATTAAATTCAATTTACTGAATGATTTATCAATACATCAAATTCTATAATTCGTATATATATATA